CCCCAAAACCCCAAAACCCCAAAACCCCAAAACCCCAAAACCCCATTATTTATTTTTTAAATTGAAATATTTAAACGAATCAATGATGCGCCAGACTTCATCGACCAAGTCTTTCAACAGGTACCAAGATTACCAAAAGGATGATTGCTCAGGGTAGGGTTAATGACTAGGCTTCATTCTGAGGCCCTAATGATTGTATATTCTCCTATATTAAACCAATTACCTATGAGTTTACAAATCTCACATGAATAATATATATTTTTCAAATAGAAAGCAAAAATTTGAAAGAAAAGCAAGTAAAAAGGAGATTTATCAAGATATGAATAAGGAAAATAACTTCTACTCGAATGATCACAAGATCAGGAGCAATGCAGACCATAATCCTGCCGCTTCTTTGGTCACACAAGTCCCACAAGGAGCATCGAAACCTGCTGTAGATCCTACGTAAGTCCAAATTTAGTAAGAAATGTAGCCAAATTATGCAATTAGAGTCCGAACAAGAGCATATTGTACTAGGGCCTCCCAAGACCCCAGGCAAAAAGTGATTAGTATTGGATCTGGATGAAACCCTTGTTCATAGTAGTTTTACTCCAGTCGAAAATTGTGACTTAATACTACCTGTAAGGATATTCTAACATCAAATAGGTCGAAATAGATAGCCAGACTTGTTATGTTTATGTCATGAAAAGACCTGGAGTTGACATTTTTCTGGAAAAACTCTCATTACATTATGAGCTGATAATATACACTGCTTCTCTTTCAAAGTATGCCAATCCTTTACTTGATTGGTTAGATCCGAAAGGCCTCTGAGATTACCGACTATTCAGAGAGCATTGTACTTTCCATAACAATATTTTTGTGAAAGATTTATCAAGGATTGCAAGACCTCTCAAGCATACTATTATCATTGATAATAGCCCGAGCTCCTACATGTTCCATCCTGAATGAGCTATTCCTACAACATCTTGGTATGATGATCCAACTTGCACTGAGCTCTACCAATTCATCCCAATTCTTGAGTGCCTTTCTAAGGTTAGTGATGTGAGACCGTTCTTACAAGCATTTGTTAAGGACAATAAAGTTCAGTTTTCAAAAGCAAACCAGGTCTTGAGAGGTGGCAAAATTGATAGCAGAGCTCAATCTCAGCCCCATTTCAAGGTTCAAGGTACTTTTAAACATTTCAACATTAACTCAATTTTAGAAGAGAAATACTCAGATTCTTCAAAGAAGAGGAAAGGTAACTTACTTAATCTAAAACTCTCTAGATAAAAGATCTGGCTACAAAAAGAGGACAACAAGTGAGAGAAGGAATTATAAGCCAAGCTCCAACTATCAGAGGCATTCCAACTTAGCCACCGAAAGCATGTCAACTTCAAAATACCAGTCAAAATACTCATCATCATATAAATTTGATGAGAAGGAGTCTTATTCAGCTAAGCATTCCACTACAAAATTGGATAAAACGACTCCCAAGACGAACAAGTATTACTCAAAGACAGATTGTAACGTTGACAAGTACAGGAATAAGCATGGCAGTAGCTCTAAATACTCAGCTTTTGAGAAACAGAGTGAAAGACACTCCTCTAGAAAGAGAGAAAGAAGTGAAAAGTACAGGTCAAAGCAAGGTAAGATTTAAATTCAATAGGGTTTAGGATCTCGAAAGAGCAGTCGCACAAAGTACAGCTCTTATAGAAGACAGAATAGCAAAGACGAGGGGAGTTTCAGACACAAAGAAAGAGGATCCAGTACTCATGCTAGACCCCAATCTGCGAAGGATCCAAGTTACAAGGCTGAAGAAAAGCTGAAAGCATCCATTTCAAACTGTGATTACAAGAATCCTGATGAGTTTCATAAGCTGCGCTATTCACTGGCAACAAAGAATCCCAAGCCACGGAGGCCTTCCAGTGCTAAGAGAAAAGATGATAATCCGTTACAAGAAAATTATAAAAACCCCAAGGCATCTCCTGAGTTCACTTTTTCAGGTCAAGGGAAGTTATACAATTATGAGAAGAGCCAATTCCTTGAAAATGTTGAATCCAAAGATAAGAAATCTAAAGAAAGTAATAAGCAAGCTCAATCTAAGTTCTCCCAATACGAGCTAAGCAAAAATAAGATTTATGAGTCAAGGAAGAGCTCACATAGAGAAGGCAGAAAAAGATCTTCCTCCAGAGACAGGACAAAGGATTCTCCAAGTGTTAAAAATTCGGAGAATTACAAGCATAGGCCAAGGCAGAGCAGAAGCCGTTCAAGTAAAGCAGAGAGAAGATCTCAGAACCGGTCGTCTAGTAGAGTGAACGACAAGCATTCTCAGAAGGTTAAACCCTCAACTCAATCAACCCATCCCTCCAAGACATCTTTTCATAACACTGCAAGTTTGAAATTTAATAACATTTTGAAAGACATGGGCACACCAAGTGGTGTAGAGAAGTCATCCCAGTTTTTCAACTACACAGAAAAAGTGAGAGGAGAGAACACAAGGCCTACAACTTCAACTAAGACACATCTTGATACTGAAAACCATGCTTCAAAGCCCTTTTTGGATATTGAGAGGCATGCTTCCAAGTATACCAACAACATGGAGATCTCTCTGAAATCTAAAGATGGAGCTTTGAAACCTAATGAGATTTTTAGAATGAATAGTAATAATAACCATCATTATAATTACATGTACAACACTCAGGGAGCGATGAAGGAGTCTAAATCTACCACTAAGTTTGGAAATAATGACTCCTACCTAAACACAAGTGCTAGAGGAAAGAACCATGTCATTAGCGCCTCTTCAATAAATAAAGACAGCAAGATTTCAAAGAAGTTGAAGATGTCATCTAGAGGAAGTACTAAGCCTCAGAATCCTTCTATTCCATTCCCAAATAGCGAGAAGCATTATTCTTCAAAACTTAACTCGGGTGGGTATGCTCCAAGGTAAACATTATGAATTTCCTAACTACTAATTTCCTGTTTGTTCATTTCATGTACAGCCTTCTATAATCCTGATTGTGCTGAAGAGCAATTGCTAATTTTTCATAGGACCAGGGACAGATATTACCCAAGAGGAGACAAAGAGAATAAATTTAATGATTAATTAAACATGAACTATCACCTATTTGATTAACTCTTTTCTGAATTTACCATATCTGATAGCCAAAGCCCTCTGCTTGTCTAACTCAAGAGTCTATCCGTCATCTGAGAACTTCCTGCTTCATGGTTTATGAATTTTTAAATTTTGAGTGAATACTTAGGTTAATTTAAATTAAAACTTCAAATTTTATGAAAAATATTCAATTTTTCTACAGGGGCTAGGGGTTTTGGGGTTTTGGGGTTTTGGGGTTTTGGGG